GTGCCACTGCACTCCAGCCTGGGCAACAAAGCGAGACTCTGTCTCAAAAAGAAAGAAAATAGAAAAAAAAAAAAAAAAGAAAACTCAAGAAGGGTCGGGTGCAGTGGTTCACACCTGTAATCTCAGCACTTTGGGAGGCCAAGGCATGTGGATCTCTTGAGGCCAGGAGTTCGAGACCAACCTGACCAACATAGTGAAACCCTGTTTCTACTAAAAATACAAAAATTAGCCAGGTGTAGTGGCGTATGCCTATAATCCAAGCTACTTGGGAGGCTGAGGCAGGAGAATTGCTTGAATCTGGGAGGGAGAGGTTGCATTGAGCTGAGATTGTGCCATTGCACTCCAGCCTGGGAAACAGAGACGCTGTCTCAAAAAATAAAAAATAAAAAAAATTGCTGCTTCATGGCACTGTGAGCCTTGGTTTGCCCATCTTTAAAATGGGGGCAGTTGACCCAGGTGTGGTGGTTCACATCTGTAATTCCAACACTCTGGGAGGCTGAGGTGGTAGGACTGCTTGAGCTTAGGAGTTCCAGACCAGCCTTGGCAACACAGGAAAACTGCTTCTCTACAAAAAATATAAAAATTAGCCAGGTATGATGTGTATACCTGTAGTCCCAGAAACTCACCGGGCTGAGGTGGGAGAATTGCCTGAGCCCAGGAGGCAAGGCTGCAGTAAGCCATGATCGTGCCACTGCACTCCAGCCTGGGCAAGAGTGAGACCCTGGCTCGAAAAAAAAAAAAAAAAAAAATTGGGGCAATTGACAGCTCTAGGGTGGTCGTGATTTGGAGAAGGGGCTGATCATCTAGAATCCCCATCTGCTGCCTGGACACCAGCTTGTTGCTATGGTTGCAGTACCTTTCTTTTTTTTTTTTTTTTTTGAGACGGAGTTTCACTCTTGTTACCCAGGCTGGAGTGCAATGGCACAATCTCGGCTCACCACAACCTCCGCGTCCTGGGTTCAGGCAATTCTCCTGCCTCAGCCTCCTGAGTAGCTGGGATTACAGGCATGTGCCACCATGCCCAGCTGATTTTTTGTATTTTTAGTAGAGACGGGGTTTCACCATGTTGACCAGGATGGTCTCGATCTCTTGACCTCGTGATCCACCCGCCTCAGCCTCCCAAAGTACTGGGATTACAGGCGTGAGCCACCGCGCCCGGCCCGGTTGCAGTACCTTTCTTTAGCCCCAGTCTTTTGTTGTTGTTGTTGTTCTTATGACAGAGTCTCACTCTGTCACTTAGGTTGGAGTGCAATGGCATGATCTCAGCTCACTGCAACGTCTGCCTCCCAGGTTCAAGCAATTTTCCCTGCCTCAGCCTCCTGAGTAGCTGGGATTACAGACGCCTGCCACCACGCCTGGCTAATTTTTGTATTTTTAGTAGAGATGGGGTTTTGCCATGTTGGCCAGGCTGGTCTCAAACTCCTAACCTCAGATGATCCTCCTGCCTCAGCCTCTCAAAGTGCTGGGATTACACACGTGAGCCACCGTGCCCAGCTTATTAGCCCCATTTTTAGCCTTGTTGATCATGAGTGCTGAGGTCAGGGATAAATTGAAGTGGTGTGGGAGGCTGTCCCTCTTCCTTCCCCCCTCATTTATTTTCTTTTTTGAGATGGTAGTCTGACTCTGTTGCCCAGGCTGGAGTGCAGAGGCACGATTTCAGCTCACTGCAATCTCTACCTCCCAGGTTCAAGCGATTCTTCTGCCTCAGCCTCCGGAGTAGCTAGGGTTACAGGCGTGCACCACGGTGTCCAGCTAATTTTTGTAGAGACGAGGTTTCACCATGTTGACCAGGCTGGTCTAGAAGTCCTGACCTCAATTGATCCGACCACCTCGGTCTCCCAAAGTGCTGGGATTACAGGTGTGAACCACCACGTCAGACCCCCCCTTCCCATTTCTGAGACGGCCCCTGCTCATTCTTTCTCTGCAGATTACCAACTTCGTACCAGCTAGAAGGGAGAAGAGATGGGGGCCTGAACAGGAGGCTTCCTTACAGCCCCGGCTGCAGATTTTAGGAGGGAAGGTGCGGGCTTTGCGTGTCTCTGAGGACAGGCCTGGACTTGGCAGTTTCTCGCTCCCAGCACCGGCCCCGTCCTCACCTCTTCCTTACTCCATAGGCTGGGAGAGAAACTCTCTCTGCTTCCCTCGCCCTTGGAGCTTTCCCTGTCCCCCTGATTTTATATGAAGAAATAGAAAAGGGGCTTGAAGTCCCCGTCGCGAGTGCCTTTTTGCAATGACCTGCCTTAGCGGGTGTTGCGGGTCCCTCCTTCTTCACAGCTGCTGAGCCTAGAGGCCCAGCTGGCCCCTCCTCTGAATTTTAGGATGTCATTAAAAAGATGAAACTAGCCGCTATGTGCTTTTTGGATGGGGACATTGCTCAAATGCTGCAGTGGGAGCGGGCAACAGTCCCCGGCCATCGCTCACTTGGGACCCGGGGCAGTCATTTTCCTTCCTGGTCCCCCGCGGCTGCCTTCGCTTCCCACCTCCAGTCTGTTCCCCCAATAGCCGCTAGAGGGCGCCCGCTAGCTTCGCGTCTTTCTTTTTTGAGAGTCTCACAGTTGCCCAGGCTAGAGTGCAGTGGTGCAATCTTGGCTCAATGCAACCTATGCCTCCTGGGTTCAAGTGATTCTCCTGCCTCAGCCTCCTACCTAGCTGGGACTACAGGCGCCCGCCACCACGCTTGGCGTGTGTGTGTGTGTGTGTGTGTGTGTGTGTGTGTGTGTGTCGGAGTTTCACTGTCGCCCAGGCTGGAGTGCAGTGGTGTGATCTCGGCTCACTGCAACCTCCGCCTCCTGGGTTCAAGCAATTTTCCTGCCTCAGCGTCCCGAGTAGGTGGAACCACAGGTGCCTGCCACCATGTCTGGCTAATTTTTTCTTGTATTTTTAGTAGAGATGGGGTTTCACCGTGTTAGCCAGGATGCTCTTGATCTCCTGACCTCGTGATCCGCCCGCCTCGGCCTCCCAAAGTGCTGGGATTACTGGCGTGAGCCACTGCACAGGGCACTCCTATTTTATTAAAGCCATAGCCTGGGCCGGGCACAGTGGCTCACACCTGTAATCCCAGCACTTTGGGAAGCTGAGGCAGGGGGATCACTTGGGGTCAGGAGTTCAAGACCAGCTTGGCTGGCATGGTGAAATTGTCTCTACTAACAAATACAAAAATTGGCCGACCGTGGTACCGGGTGCTTGTAATCCCAGCTACTCATGAGACTGTGGCACGAGAATCGCTTGAACTGGGGAGGTGGAGATTGCAGTGAGCTGAGATCGGGCCACTGCATTCCAGCCTGGGTGACAATCGAGACTCTGACTCAAAAAAGGAAAAAAAAAAAAAAAAAAAAGCCATGGCTTGATCTGCATAATGCCACCTCGATCCCCCACCTACCTGCTCTCCCCTCCTCTGTTGTACAGGCACACTCTCACCTCCGGGCCTTAGCATCTGTTTCCCACCTGGTGTGCTTTTCCCCTTATAACCACAAGTCGCGCTCCCTCACCATTACGTCTCAAATCAAATGTCACCTCTTCAGGGAGGCCCTCTCTACCTTTCCATTTTAACGTCAGTCGCCTCTACCACTCTGAAAAGATTTAACTATTGGCCAGGTTTAGGGGCCCATGCCTATAATCCAGCACTTTGGGAGGCGGAGGCAGAAGGATCCGTTGAGCCCAGGAATTCGAGACCAGCCTGGAAAACATAGCAAGAACCCCAACATTAAAAATATATATATCTGGGCCGGGAGCAGTGGCTCATGCCTGTAATCCCAGCACTCTGGGAGACTGAGGCGGGCAGATCACGAGGTCAGGAGATTGAGACCATTCTGGCTAACAAGGTGAAACCCTGTCTCTACTAAAAATACAAAAAAATTAGCCAGGTGTGGTGGCATGCACCCGTAGTGTCAGCTACTCGGGAGACAGGCAGGAGCATCGCTTGAACCCAAGAGGCGGAGGTTGCAGTGAGCCGAGATCACGTTACTGCACTCCAGCCTGGGCGATAGGGCAAGATTCTGTCTCAAAAAAAAAAAAAAAAAAAAGTGTATTTAAAAACAAAAAACCAACCAACCAAAAACACCAGCCTGGGCAACATGGTGAAACCCAATCTCAACTAAAAATACAAATTAGCTGGTGTGGTGGTTCGCCCTTAGTCACAGCTACTCCGGAGGCTGAGGCGGTTGGATCACTTAAGCCCGGGAAGTCGAGGCTGCAGTAAGCTGTGATCTCACCACTGCACTCCAGCCTGGGTGATGGGAGTGAGACCCTGTTTCAAAAATAAATAAAAATTAACTATTGTCTCCGGCCCCAAACCATAGGTGTCCCTACAGCAGGGGCTGCCTGGCGTGCTCTTCACTCGGGCACCTCTAGGAGATGCCAAATAAATCTTTGAGCGAAGACTCTGTCCTCCCAGGCCTTCCCACGTGTCAGCTGCAGGCTCCTTTCCTCCTGGCTCAGTCTGAGCCAGGCAGGGTGATCCCTTCCTCATCTACCCCGTCTCCCCATTTCCCTTTCTTCACGGTGCTTTATGCTATCTAATATTATTTAATTGCTTGAATGTGCGCGTGCAGCGCCCAGAACGCTCCCTGCACACAGGGAAAGATGAATGAATGAAATAAAGCGCCCAGCGTGTTGTAAGGGCCAATCAATGTCTATTAGCAGTGGAACCCCGGATTGGGTGGCCCTAGCCCTGCCTCCCTTCCCCCAGGAGGCGCCGAGGTCCCAGAGCAGCCCGCGCTACCCTGTCCTTGACCTTTCTCCCTGGGTCAGTTAAACCGGCCGTCTTTCCCGCCCACCGAGTACATTTGAAAACCGAAAACCCCGCCATTGCTGGCGGGCCACCGGTTGCCGCGCTGACCAAACAGGAGCGACGCCTTTCACCCGGAGCCCGAAATTACCCCGGCGACGCGCATCCATTGGTTACGCAGGCCCTGTGGGCGGAGCGCCGTAAGGTCGCGCCACAGGCAGAGCGGCATCGTTACACAGCAGCGAATTTGTAAGAAAACAAATCCCCGGCGTTCGGGGTGGGGCCGGGAGCACGTTGGCTCCGCCCCCTGGCTGCTGCCCTGGCTGCGGCGGCGGCGCAGGCTCAGAGCAGACCCCGCCCGGCTAGGAGGAGGGAGGGTGAGTTGGGGGGAGACCCGGCCCCCAAGGGGCGGGCGCCGGGCAGGGCCCCGCGGGCGGCCGAGGGTTGGGCCGGGCTCCCGGCCCCTCACCGCTGGCCGGCTGACAGGGGGAGGAGCCCGCTGGGAGGGCCGGGGTCTCGAGCTGGGGAGCCGGGTCGGGAGTGCAGCACAGCCAGGCGCACCGCGGCCGCGCCCCGGGAGGGCTGTTCGGGCCTGCGCCCGCCGGCTCCTCGGTGCTCACGGCGCCTGGCTGGGGCGGGGTGGGGGACTTCGCAGGCCGTCAGTGTCGACATGTTGCTGGAGGAGGTCTGCGCCGGCGACCGGCTGAGTGGGGCCGCAGCCCGGGGCGACGTGCAGGAGGTGCGCCGCCTTCTGCACCGCGAGCTGGTGCATCCCGACGCCCTCAACCGCTTTGGCAAGACAGCGCTGCAGGTGAGGCCGGGCTGGCTCAGGTCAGGGGCGGGGCGGCTCAGCGAGGTGAGTATCGAGACCCCAGAGCCCCTCTCCTCTGGTCTCTTGGCCCTGGTGGTGACCCACTGGGGACCGGTCCTTCTTCTCTAGGCTTTCATTGTTCCCCCACAGTCCCCTTTCGAAGGTGGATGGTGGGTGAGGCTAGGTTGGAGGGGGAGGGGATAGCTTTCCAGATTCTTCTCGGAGGATTCCTGGTTCTCTGAGTGCAGGGGATTCTTTTTCCCTGGGGAGGTTCTTTCTATTCCGTGGGTGGGGGTTCAGCTTCTTTGGATGCCTTTTCCCTGGGGACAGCTCACATTTTTGGGGGCTTCTATGTGGAGATCCGATCTCTGGAAGGAGAGGTACGGTCTCCAGGGGTTCCTCATTTTGTAGGGGGCTCTCAGACATATTTGGTTACTTGGGGGTGGGGTCTTAATTCCCAAAGTTTATGCGGATCTTTGGTATAGTGTGGGGGCCCCGGAGGAGAAGCAGTGTCAGATTGCAAGAGTCCCTATATTCCCTTGGGAGACATGTTACAGAGGAGTCTCCTTTCTCTTCTCTTATTACTTTTAGAATCCTCCTTTCTTTCTTTTTTTTAAGATGGGGTTTCACCATGATGGCCAGGCTTGTCTTGAACTCCTGACCTGAGGTGATCCACCCACCTCGGCTTCCCAAAGTGCTAGGATTACAGGCGTGAGCCACCGCGCCCGGCTTTTTTTTTTTTTTCTTTTTTTTTTAATGGAAGCTGGAGTGCAGTGGCACGATCTTGGCTCACTGCAACCTCCACCTCCCGGGTTCAAGCGATTCTCCACCATCAGCCTCCCGAGTAGCTGGGATTACAGGCCCCCACCACCATGCCCGGCTAATTTTTGTATTTTTAGTAGAGGCGGGGTTTCGCCAAGTTGGTCAGGCTGATCTTGAACTCTTGACCTCAGCTGATCCACCCGCTTCAGCCTCCCAAAGTGCTAGGATTACAGGCGTGAGCCCTGCACTGGTCAGAATCCTGTTTTTTGAAAGGAGCTCTCAGGTACCCTAAAGTGACATCATCATTGTAGGAGGAGGCTATTTCCTGGAGAATGGCCCGGGGGGTTCACTTTTCTCTGGCATCTCTTTTTCCTTTTGAGGACTGTCAAGTTCTTTGGGGGTAATTCTCAGTCTCTTGGGGCCCATTTCCTGGAGGGGATTTTATATTTCCTGGTGATTCCCATATCTGGGGTGTCTTTGGTCCCTTGGAGGGGAGTCTTAGGTTCCTTGAAAGTTTCCATGGGGCTGTTCTCTGGGTTGGGGGTCTTATATTATTCTTAAAGGAGTGACCAGCTTCTGGCGCTCGGGGTTGGGGTGAGGGTAGGCGGGGAGAGGGGGGGAGGAAAGGGTTCTTTATTCCCAGGAGAACTTTTTCTCTTCGTTCTCAAACGGTTCCCTGGGGGCTTATGCAGCTTCCCTGTTCACTAGAGGACCCCTCCTCTGACATATCCTGTTCCTAGGAGATGCCTCTTTCTGGATGACCCTTCTGTCTCCAGTGACCCCTTTTTCAGAACCCCCTCCCTTGAAGACCTCCTGATCCTCTGTCCCTCACACAGGTCATGATGTTTGGCAGCACCACCATAGCCCTGGAGCTGCTGAAGCAAGGTGCCAGCCCCAATGTCCAGGACACCACCGGTACCAGTCCAGTCCATGACGCAGCCCGCACTGGATTCCTGGACACCCTGAAGGTCCTAGTGGAGCATGGGGCTGATGTCAATGCGCCTGATGGCACCGGGGCACTTCCCATTCATCTGGCGGTGCAAGAAGGTCACACTGCTGTGGTCAACTTTCTGGCAGCTGAATCTGATCTCCATCGCAGGGATGCCAGGGGGCTCACACCCCTGGAGCTGGCACTGCAGAGAGGGGCTCAGGACCTCGTGGACATCCTGCAGGGGCACATGGTGGCCCCGCTGTGATCTGGGGTCACTCTCTCTAGCAAGAGGACCCCATGGGGTTATGTATCAGGAGAGAGGGGAAGAAACACTTTCTCTTCTTGTTTCTCCTGCCCACTGCCGCAGTAGGGGAGGAGCACCAGTTTGTGGCTTATAGGTGTTGGTTTTGGGGGTGTGTGTGTGTTTGGGGGACGTTTCTCATTTGTTTTTCTCACCCCTTTTGGTGTGTTGGACAGAGAAGGGCTCCTGCAGGCCACAGCCAACTAAACGGTTCAGTTTCTTCTGTGCCTCAGACAAGACCCAAGGGCCGAGCATTTAAGAGTGAGGTCGTCACCTCCAGAGCTCCTGGAACCTGGTGACCTTGGCCGGCTGTGCTCAGAGACCTGAAGTGACGTTGCTTCGGGCATGGGGGGTGGGAGATCGTCCCAAATCAATAAGAAGGTAGCATGAGTTTATATTCTGTTGGAAGCTCGTTTTGCAGTCTCTTGTACAGCGTTTTAAAAGAAATAGATTCTATTTATTATGCTTTATTGGAAAAAATGTTGTGTGTAATAATTTAATGTTTTTACCCATTAAATTAAGACTTGTGCATGATCACAGCGCGGGTACCTTCAGATTTTTGAGTCTGGGATGGGGAGTCACACATCTTGGATGTTGATGGGGATGAGGACGGGGGTCGAGGATCGTGGATGCCGTGGGTGAGGGGAGAGAATAGTAATTCCCAGGGCGCCGGGGTGAGTGAGCTGGGTGGGGCAGCGGTTTTCTCTGTCGGAACGGAAGGAAAGCAGGAAACCGCGAGTGGAGAAAGGGCCCCCAGATGTCAGCTGGGTGCCCGGAGCCCCGGGGGTGGGGCGGGTGGGCGGTGGCCGCGGTCCCTTCCCGCAGGGGCGTAGCCGTGGGTGGCGACTGCGGTCACGAGGCGAAAGAGATCCCGGAAAAGCCAGGGGCGGGGTTAGGCGCGACCCGCCTCCTTTAAAGGTGGGTGTGGGCGGGGCCGAGGGCTGTCCCCGCCCCTCCTGGACGTCCTCAATGCGCGTGCGCAGTGGGCCACAGAGCCGCCATGCCGGAACCGCACGGGTCGTCGCAGCTGCGGGTGAACGCGGCGTTTGCCGCGCGGTACAACCGCTACCGGGAGCGCGAGGAACTGCAGCGGCGTGAGTGTGGAGCGCATGCGCACGGGAGCCTACGCGTGCTGGACGGTTGGGAAGTGGGGAGTCGAGCTGGCCCCGCCGTCTGACCTGGGGGGCATTCCGTCTGTACCCCGCAGTGAAGGATCGCTACGGGGACCGGGACAGCGGCGGCGACTCTAGCTCCGAGTCGGACTCCAGTGACGAGCGCGTGGTGCGTGTCCCCTTCCCGTCCTGGGCATGCAGAGGAGTCCAAGACCCCCTACCGACCCCGACGTGGACGCGGGGGTTAACCCTCAACCCCAGAGCGCTCTGCGGGAGTGTCCAGCCCCCGCCCCCCATCCCAGGAGAGACGGAAAGCTCCCTTCCTCTGCCCAGGGAAGCCAAATTCCCCCCTATTTTCTCTCCCCTGCCACGATCCACCTGCCCACTTTGATTTTGGGGCGACTCCTCTGTCCCCCCCAAGAACCCCCTTCTTCATCCTCAAGAGTCTAGCCATTTTTCAGTGTACCCCTTGTGCCACGTGGGGCGCCCAAATTCTGCCCACATCAACCCTGATCTTGGCCCCACTGTGCGGCCTGGCCCAGCCCCTCCCCGCTGTCTCCCTTGCGCCCTCAGCCCACCTGCTCCTCGTCAAGTCCTTGTCTTCCCCAGGAATTACCTTATCCTTGCTCCTCGCCTTCCTTACCCATATCCTGTACACCTGTGGCCTGCCCTTGCCCACTCCAAGAGGGCCCCTCCCTCCTGCTGTTTGACCTCCTGCCTCTTTCCCCAGCCAGATCCCTCCCTCCCTCCATCCTAATCCCTACGCTGAGCTCACCTGTTGGTGCCAGGGCTCTTACTACCTGCCTTCTGAAGTCTGTCCCCAACCGTTTTCCTGCCCTAGGACTTTGACCCCCAGCAGGAGCGGGACTTTTACAGAACGCTCTCTTTATTGAAGAAGAAGGACCCCCGCATTTATCAGAAAGATGCCACCTTCTATCAGAGAACAGGTCTGGGGGCACGCCTGTCAGCCTTTCTGTTCCTCAGGAACGGAATCCGGGGTCCTTTCCTGTGTGGATTCAGAGAAGTGACTTGAATTCTCTCAGCGTCTTTTCCTGTCTGTAAAGTATATCTAATGGTACCATCTACCCTCAGGGCTGTTTTAAGGATAGATTGGGATTTTCCCAATTTACACAATTCATCTGTTGTGATTATTGAATGAATTGCTTCACAAGTCCTTAGCAACAGCCTAGGTTATTACCTGGTGGTGGGGTTAATGACTGTGTGCTTGCACTGTTCATGGTGGGAGTTGCTGACAGTGATTCCAACTCCACTGGGCTGGGCAGATGGTTCAAACCTCTGATCCCAGCACTTTGGGAGGCTGAGGTAGGAGGGTCATTTGAGGCCAGGAGTTTGAGACCAGTGGGGGCAACATAACAAGACCCTATTTTTTTTTCTCTTGGAGACAGGGTCTTGCTCTGTCGCCCAGGCTGGAGTGCAGTGGTGCAATCTCGACTCACTGCAGTGTCCACCTCCCAGGTTCACACAATTCTCCTGCCTCAGCCTCCCGAGTAGCTGGGATTACAGGCGCCCACCACCAAACACAGCTAATTTTTCTATTTTTAGTAGAGACAGGGTTTTACAATGTTGGCCAGGCTGGTCTTGAACTGGCTGGTCTCAAACTCCTGACCTTGTGATCTGCCCACCTCAGCCTCCCAAAGTGCTAGGATTACAGGCGTGAGCCACTGCACCTGGCTGCAAGACCCCATTTTTACAAAAGATATAGAACTTAGCTGGACATCCTGGCATGTGCCTAGCGTCCCAGGTATTTGGGAGGCTGAGGTGGGAGAATTGCTTGAGCCCATGAGTTTGAGGCTGCAGTGAGCTGTGAGTTAGGATCTTGACACTGCACTCCAGCCTGAGCAACAGACTGAGACCCCAACTCTCAAAAAACTAATTATAATAATTAATCAGACTGGGCGTGGTGGTTCATGCCTGTAATCCTAGCACTTTGGGAGGCTGAGGTGGGAGGATCACTTGAAGTTAGGAGTTGGAGATCAGCCTGGCCAACATGGTGAAACCCTGTCTCTACTGAAAATACAAAAATTAGCTGGGTATGGTTTTGCACAGCTGTAATCCCAGCTACTCAGGAGGCTGAGGCAGGATAATTGCTGGAACCTGGGATTCAGAGGATGCAATGAGCCGAGATCACACCATGCACTCCAGCCTGAGCAACATAGTGAGACTGTCTCAGAAAAATAATGATAGTCAAAGCAGGAATTGCTGACTGAATGGCCCCAACCCCACCAGACGGTGACAAGCACAATACTCTTAGACAGCTGGGAATTGGTGGATTGGGGATTTGAATCCACTGTCTAACCCTGGCCCTGCCTTTTGGGATTCTCTGCCAGGGGAAAGAAGGGGGTTGTGGGTGATGACAGGTGTCTTCGTGGGTTAACAGCATCGTCATCAGACAGCGAGGAGGAGCCAGCAGCTTCGGAGAAGCAGAAAAAAGTACGGCCCATGTACCTGAAGGACTACGAGAGGAAGGTCATTCTGGAGAAGGAAGGGTAAGGAGAAGGCCCACATCTCCACCCCCTGGTCCCCAGCCCTCTCAGGTTTATGGGGGTCTTGGGGCAGGAGAGGAAAAAAGCTGGCAACCAGGGCCAGGCATGGTGCCTCATGCCTGTAATCCTAGCACTTTGGCAGGCCAAGGCAATAGGATTGCTTGAGGACAGGAGTTCGAGACCAGCCTGGGCAACATACTTGTCTCTACAACAACATTAAAAATTAGCTGGTCATGATAATGGGTCTCTGTACAGTCCCAGCTCCTCAAGAGGCTGAGGCGGGAGGATTGCTTGAGCCCAGGAGATGGAGGCTGCAGTGAACTATAATCAGGCCACTGCACTCCAGCCTAGGCAACAAAGCTTGCTTGTTTCCAAAAAAAAAAAAAAAAAAAGGCTGTCTGGCACGGTGGCTCATGCCTGTAATCCCAGCACTTTGGGAGGCCGAGACGGGTGGATCACCTGAGGTCAGGAGACCAGCCTGGCCAACATGGCAAAACCCCATCGCTACTAAAAATACAAAAGGTGGAAACTCGGCAGAATTGCAGATACCCCTGAGCACAGGAGCCTCAGTGACTCCATAAGCCTCCGAGGATCCCCGCCAGCTGTTGGTTGGAACAGCTGCCTTGCATGGGCATGGGGACAGGCAGGCCCTGGAAGATACTTTCTGAAGACCTCACTTTTCCTGTACAGCAAATATGTTGACGAGGAGAACTCAGATGGGGAGACTTCCAATCACAGACTCCAGGTGTGTGGGGTGGAGACTGGGTCCAGGGGGTGCTGGGCCCGGGGCTGGCCCGAGACCCACAGCCCTCTCTCCTCTGCAGCGGACCTCGTCACAGAGTTATGTGGAGGAACAGAAACAGCTCAAGGAAAGGTGAGGCTGGGCCATCAGGAGTGGCCAGTGGAGGAAAGTTGAGGCTCAGGGACTGGACAGGCAGGTGTTTAAATTGAGCTGTCACTTTCTCTCTACCTACTTCTGTTTCCTCATCAGTTAAACAATGTTAATGACATCACAGCACGACTCTGAGCTTGTTGAGAGGTCAGGGCTTAGTAAATGGGGCTCATCTTGGGGCGGCCAGTCGGGTGAGGTGGGTCATGCCTGTAATCCCAGGGCTTTGGGAGGCAGAAGAGGGAGGATCAATTGAGCCCAGGAGTTCAAGACCAGCCTGGGCAACATAGGGAGACCCCATCTCTACAAAATAAAATAAATGTTGGGGCAGCAGACGGGCCAGCCTACCTGTCCTGAGGCTTTTCTCTCGTGGGCAGCTTCCGGGCATTTGTGGAGGACAGTGAGGACGAGGACAGTGCTGGGGAGGGCGGCTCTGGTTTGCTGCAGAAACGTGCCAAAACCAGGCAGGAGAAGGTGGGTATTGGGGCCTGGCTCTACCACCGGGGGGCAGGGTGGCAGGTGGCTGAGTGTCTGCAGATGCTCAGTGCTGGCCTTCCACCAGGCCCAGGAGGAGGCCGACTACATTGAGTGGCTGAAGGGACAGAAAGAGATTCGGAACCCAGAGTCCCTGAAGGAACTGGTGAGTTATCACATGTGGTCACCAATGGAGTAGACCACATGTTCCGCCTCCATCCAACTATTTACAGAAAGTAACCCACTGAAAATGAGGTGTGTGCATCTCTGGGCCTCAGTTCCCACATCTCGTAATATGGGGATAGGCTGAGTGCGGTGGCTCACACCTGTAATTCCAGTGCTTTGGGAGGTCAAGGCGGGAGGATTGCTTGAAGCCAGGAGTTTCAGACCAACTTGGGCAACACAGCAAAACCCCTCTACAAAAAAAATGAAAAAATTAGCTGGGCATGGTGGCACGTGCCTGTAGTCTCAGGTACTCAGGAGGCTAATGTGGGAGGATTGTGTGAGCCTGGGAGTTGAATCTGTAGTGAGCTATGATCGCACTACTGTACTCTCACCTG